ACCCGGATAGGCCTGAATAGCTTGTGTCCTCACACTGAAGCCAAAAAACACAAGTGAGAAAAGTTTTTAATCAGATAAAATGTGCGAGGCTTTAGCGCCTCTTCACTCAGGGACTTGTTTTATTCAGAGGATTACAGTGATTTAGCCTGGATTATGGACCAGATCTGTCCAAATCTCTGTCCATGGACAAAGGCACAAATACTCAATGATTATGATCTGTGTGCAGATGGAAAGCGATCAGTTTGGGATGTGGCAGAAGTCCATTATATTATTATAGAAGTCAATAACTAAAGCTGCCTGTGTTTGAGGAGAGATGCCATCAATACAGAAGCTCTCTTCACAGTTGGTAGCTAAAGCGCTGTGGGCGTCTCTAAAGGAGCTATATACAATGCATTGTTAAAAAATTAAGGTGGACTATATAACTGTTATGGTATAGGGGTCAGCCACCGCTTGTCTCCATGAAGATTTTTTGCTTTGCCATGAATGTTCCACAGTTCAAATTATTATCTACTTACAGTATCTACTGTATCTTAGATTTATTCAATTACAAAACTGTTGCCATAGCTTGAAAAGATGAATTCCTACTGAGAGCAGAATTGGCCTCTCCCCAGATCTGACCTGCAACTTGGTGGTGTCACCTGCATTGGGCATACTGTGGAACATTTCAGGCAAGGTGAACATCTCCATTGAGACAAGAAAATAGCTATAACCGCTCACCAGAAAGGTTACACAGTGCACCTTCAGTATGCAGACATGGACTGCAGATAGCCAGGCTAGTGCCACCTAATGCCTCTGCTCAATTTAATTTCTCTCCAGTGACTAGATTAGGAATCGGAATACACTAGACGGCAAGAACCCCAGAAGTTGTAGACCGCTCACAGGCCAATCAGCGAAGAGCTGTGAAGCCAGCAATTACTTGGACACCACTGAGCGTTCTGGCTCATTACATACGTTTTGACCAAATAGCAGTGATTGGTTAAACAAAAAAGTACCCGCCTACTGTGGAGTGAATCCTAATGCTGTAAAGTCAGACACGTAGATGATTTGGGGAATGTATTCAACATAATGTATTTATTATATTACATTTTTTTGTGAATGCTTTAAGTCAACACATTTGTAGATGCAGCCAAATACAAAAGCTAGCTTGCATGCATTTCTTTGCTGCTTTTAACCATATACTCTTGGGATCTAATTTTGGTTTAAACAAATGAAATGTATATCCCTTTATACCACTAGTGAATCCCGTAAGACCTCTGGATAGTGTTGAGTCGGGTATGAGGAAAAACCAGGTTGCTTTGACACTGGTCTGAAAGTATAGCCTTATTAAAAAGAGGACTTTGAATGAAATCGCTGACAGAATAAGAGCCGACAAGCACTTTTAAAAACAGCTCTGAAGCTATACTGCCCGGCTGTGTGGAGACACGGGGTGAAATGAGGTCTCACTGTGGACCGTTATGAATTCAACACGGTACAAATTTCAATTAAACACTCCTCCATTGCTCCCCGAGACTCCACATTGTCAAGGCTTGTATTAATTTCTAGAAATTTATCTTTGACACCCGTTGCTGTTTTGCACTTAGAGGACTAAAATGGTTTCTTTCCACTCATCAAACCTAAAGACAGTCCTTTTGAATGGTGTAAAATTGAAATTAAATCCTGCTGCAATGCCTCATCTCCCTGAGCAGAGCAACAATGTCTTTTAAATGGGTTTCATTACGAGGTGGCGTGGGGTTGTCTGACAGTTCATCATTGTGTCATTCTCACAGACGAAGTAAATAATCAAGACTGTGCAAAGAATTGGTTTCACTGTTCTAAAAGTGTACCTTTTTAAAGTGGAACTAAACATTAAATCCACTTTTTCCACTACTTAGCTGTCTAGGTGGTGTTTTAATAGTATTATCTTCTGCATTTTTTGGGTAATTTCAGTGCAAACTAAAGGTAAATGTGCAGCTTGGTCCAAAATATGTATAAAACTGACAGTGTGTTGCCTCCATTGGCCACAGCCAATACTAGTAGTTAGTGACATCACACAAAACTGTCTTGATTACAGACAGGGGTTTCTGAATACAAACACCAAGCTGCAGGGGTGGAGTTTGAAGTGTGCATACCTTTTAGATCCATCAGTCTTCCTTATACTTCAGCCTCTACTTCACTCTCTTCTTTAGTCCTCCAGGTACTGCCCAGTTCAGCAGCTCTATCTGAAATGTGGTTGTGGGCAGAGTTTGTGTTTAGTCCCAGTTAAAAACTCGGGTGCCTGATTTCCAAACTATGAAAAGAGGGCTATTTAAATCTTTATGACTAGTTATTTTTCTCACAACCCTTTGGCACAACGCTTTAGTATCCACATGTGGGTGCACAGCTATACAATTCTGAATGGTGAAATGAAGCAAGGGCCACTAACATGCACTTTATCCTCTATCATCAGATTTTTACAGGGTGACCCATAATTGCTGACTTACTGGGGATCAATTAAATTACACATTGTACTCATTTAAAAAAATAGATACTGCAGGATTAAGATAAACAAAATGTACACTGGAGGAGCTGATCAAAAATATGTACTGTATCAGAAAACACAACAATTCACAGACTATAATTGTGCTTCAGTGATACAGTGCAACCCAAAACAATGGAGAAAAAAAGATAAATTCTTTATCCATTGCTTGAACCCCATTACACACAGAAACAGTTTGATTCTTGTCTGTTCTTTAACAGTGAAATTAGCTTGTAGTTTGTGAGACTACCACAGTGACTGGAATGCCAAATCCATCCAGTCCTTGTATTTGCAGAGGTGGCTGGTGCTAGGCTAGTGCATGTCAATGGCCATAGTTAGCCTGCTACTAAAAACATCGTCTTATCCACTCCACAAAGCACCCGAAGCAAAACTATTATTACACCACACTGTCTGTGTTGATAGAATAATTTTAGAAGTAGAATCAATCTTGCATTTGAAGTATTTATATCTGAGCAGCAGCAGTGAGTTATACTTCCTGATAGAAAGCTTGGCAGCGGCAGACTGATATCACGTAGCACATATCTTATGGCAAAGTAAAATTCCGCTGATGCTGAGAAAATAGTCCCTCAACATGCGACGATTCATGCTATGCAAGGTTAGTTTTATTTCAAACATTATTCTGTCAACACAGACATTTACACTGACAGTCTGGCGTTATAATAGATTTGCTTCTGGTGCTTTGTGGAGTGGGTAAGATTGTTTTTAGTGGCAGGCTAACTATGGCCATTGACATGCACTAGTCTAGCCCTAGCGACCTCTGCAAATACAAGGACTGGATGGAATATTTTAAAAAGTGTCTCCACACGTCTCCAACATTTAGGCTCACTAGGAAATGAGGCCCTATGTTCAAAATTCTGGACTGTCGCTTTAATCCAACCATTCTATTTCTGTGGGTTTAGGAATGGCACAAATCGTCAAACAACATGAGCTAACAAACTTTATCTTACCCTTAGCAGTGACTGTTAGTCACTGTTCAACTCCTAGACACACACAGACAGATTGCCATTCACTCACCTATTACTTCGCTAAAGCTAAAGCAAATTTAGCAGCACAAATGCAATGTGGGAGAAAGCCCAAGTTTCCATTGAAACCATGCAACAATACTTGGATGTTCAGACTCCATTCTCTAGTTACTCTGAACACTGCCCTAAAAGATTGTTCAACCAAATTTTGCCCTATTAAAATAATGCTATTGTTATGTTTTTGTCAGACAGTTGGCCATCCTAAAATTGCCTGATATAAAACAACACAACAACAAGTTATACAGAAACATTTTACCCTCCACTTGACTATAATGAAGCATTTAGCAGGAGCACAATACAAGCGTCTGTCTCTTGATTTCCATCTCAACGCTGCTTACCTTTTCAGCTCGCAGAAATCATTTGCCTTTTTAACAAATACTTTTCCTCATTCCTGAAACATCTGCTCCAAATCCAAATTATACTGCAGTCTCACATTTAATTCCCTACATTTCCCCTTCTTGTTAACAGCTTGTACCGTTGTTCTTTTCCGTCATAGCCAGGAGCTTTAATTTAGGCTGATGACAATTTTTAAATAAAACATCTTGCTTTGTGTGCCTCAGCCCGGTGCAGTGCCTGTGGGAGCTCTTACTGTTGGCATGCTGAGTCACAGATGTTCTCGGGTCTGTTTACCTGTCCCATCTGGGAGGAGTGTAATGTAGCAGTGCGTACTCACTCAAAATACAACCCTAATTCATAAAGAGTTGGGTCACAGTAAAATGTGAACAATAACAAAATGAAATGTTATGCAAAAGGTGTTATTCCATTAAAATAAATACAATTTATTTTGCACTGACCAAAAGTCATTCTTGTCTTAAAAGTTTTTGAACACAAACACTTAAAGGTTTTGTTGCACAAGGAAGTCAAATGTTAATAAAGTGGTAATTTTCAACTGGACCAGTTGGATAAAATTAGAACTGTTTTATAATGATCAAAACTAAAACAAAGCCTATGGAGACAGCAGTATTTCTAGAAAATCTTCTGTTTACATATAGGTTTACATTGTAATACAACAGTACTTTAAGGCGAATCAGGCACATATGAAGTATTGAATGGCCAGGAATGTTCCAAAGTTTGGCATTAAACCTGTCTATCTTCACAGAGATAAGCAGGTGATGCCACCGGGCCAAGTTACAGTTCAGATCTGTGGCAGGATGACCCCACTCACAAAAATAATGCATATTATTCAAAGAATATTTTAACACTGAAATACCTATTTGAATAATTGCCAGATATGTTTAATGCCATACTGTGGAACATTGCCGGCAAAGCAATTACATTTCCATGAAGAGAAATGGGTGGCGGTCCCCGTACCAGAAACGTTACATAGTGCACCTTTAAAATGCTTCTCCTTTTCTAATATTTTTGTTTGCCAACCGGTCTGTCTTTACTCTGCCTCTTTGGTGTCCTAACTTTTAATTGCCTTTTGCTTGCATAAGTCACTGAAATCTCCCTTTCCTCCTCAGTGCCCTCCCGGGTTGAGTCCAATGAAGGATGGGACCGGGTGTTACGACCACCACATCGGCATCGACTGCTCCGATGGTTTTAACGGCGGCTGTGAGCAGCTGTGTCTGCAGCAGCTGGCGCCCCTAGAGGACGACCCCACTCTCTACAACATCCTCATGTTCTGTGGGTAAGAACCAGAGTGTGTTTGACTTACATAAGAACCAGAACTTCTTCTGGACTGTGGGCCGCAGTGCACCAGTGGTAAAGACTATAGATAAAGGGACATATATAAGGTTTAATTAGGATAATCTTTAAATCCTGCTGCTAAGAGAACTTTGTTCTCTTAAATAATACAGTGAAACTACATTATAATGTGAAAGAGCAAAATAAAAAATGCCTGATAGTTTTTGGTAAAGTTTATTATTAAATTCTATCAATGTTAAATAAAATAAGACAATGAACTTAAACTACATAAATGTGTTGATACATTCAGTGATGAAGGGATTGGATTGCAGTTATTTCTGGAGGGGAAAAAGGTTTTGGGTAAATTGGTGACTCTAATTCATACAATGCATAAGCAGATTAGGCCGTTCTCCAAAATGTAACCAACATAAAAGCCCTCCATCTCTCAGAAATAAGTGAGTGTTTTTGGTCATATCGTTGTAAATAAATACATTTTTACTGAAGTGTTCAGTTATACTTTTCTTAGGCCTTGGGCTGTAATACTGTGTTCAAGTCCCCACTGCAGGTATAAACATAGTTTTTCTAAAGGCACTCTCTGTGTGCAGTCTGAATCCTCCTCAGGATAGCTCTGATAAAGGGCTTTATTTGGATGGGGCCCAGAGGCCACTCCTGTGGCCAGAGCACACCATAGTATTTGCATCAGTGATGAGACTTTGAGCCCTTTCAGCTTCATCACAGAGTCTTTTGATCTTTTCTATTTATGTTAGCACAAAATAAATCTGTCCAAACTCACTTACCATAGACCAAATATATTGTGATGACTGTCTTTTCTCTGAGAAGGTTGAATTATTAGCTGTTTCAAATGGGGCTCTGCAAAGATCCTCTATAGGTCACTTGACTTTGAGTACTCGTATTAATCCAGTACAAAGATCTATTCTGAATACTAGCTACGCCAGTTGGACACGACTAAAGTGACAGGTAAGAAGTTGTGTATAAGGATTTCTGGAGTTTTGTTCAATTTGATTTCTTTATCTTTCTCTCATAGCATACACTCTAATTGGCTCTGAGTCACCCTGCAGTGTGGGCACTGAGTTTGTGAGTGCACTGGCTGAACTTTATCCATCTGCTAAGTTTAACAACTCTTAAACAAACAACAATTATAAATTAAAGTTTTCTTTTGTACCTCTTAGCATTTATTTGTTTAATGAATGGTGTTGTTTTATTAGAAGCTGCAAACTGTTTTTGTTACATAAAATCTATGCATTTTTTTCAACAGTTAGTTAAAATATATGAAATAATCAGTTATCTATTCTTCTACTCAAGAGCAACACTGGAAATCTGTGGTTGGAGCGCTGAATGAAGAGTTAATTAAAACAAATATGCCAATCATAAAACGTAAGAACTTAATCAGAAACTCTAACTGGTAAAAAAAAAAATGTTGGGATCTTTAACAATTTTTTTTCACAATAGTTTGTATAGTTACACAACACAGTAGCTTTAGTTATTTTAAGTGACAGGGCTTCAGACTGGGAGGGTCAAGGTATGTTTACGAGTACGGGGAAAAATGATAAAATATTTTATTGGAAGTGACTTTCGTTTAGACTCTGACAGCGTTTTTGGGTTTTAAAAACGCAAAACTCTGAAACCACCCTCCAGAGTGGAAAAATTGAATACTCTCCGCAGTAGCGTTTCACAGAAACAAACATGTCAGATAATTTCCATGCGTCGGACCTTCAAGCTGCGCTGGCAGCTTTAATAAACTTACAGGAGGCAGTCCAACAAATGTACGGAATATTCAGAGATACAATTTGTGAACAGAGAAGGGTCTGCAATTATCTCTGTCAAATTCTGGATGCACTAGTTCGTCGCAGGAAAGCCAGACGACTATGGACGAGACCTGGGAGAACCAGTTGATGGTGAGACAATTTTGTGGAAGGAGTAGCTGATGAAAATATGTGCCATGAAAACTTTCGTATGTCCAAAGATGCCCTTGTTGCTTTAAGTACAAGCATACTCAATCAAATTCCACACACTTTTGTGTCACCGTATACTCGCAGATTTCCTCCTAAAAAGGCTCATCTCATTTCGCAGAATAAAAAGTGAAGACGGAACGCCACTTTTGCCTTCAGACTGTCATCATATAAATGTAGCCTTAAAGGGTACTGTTTACATAGTGCTCAGTGAAAGGAGGTGCTCTCCATTTGGTGCTATATCCCTGTTAATTGAGGACATACATTTATAATAAGATTCTAAATTAATTACACACATTCATTATTTTATTTTAATCATAAAAGTCCAACCATTTACAAACTGGCAGAAATGATTCAGGATACACAGAAAAAGGAACAAAAGACTTGGGCAGACTGAGTAGGTGAAAAGAATCTGTCTGAAGTTCCACAATGGGAGAAAAGTAGAAACTATTGTCTGCAGAAATGTGCAGATCTGAGTTAATGGTCATGAGTCACTGTTGACCTGGTCCTCACCTTTTACTTAGGATAGAAAGGTATTTGTTATGTCTGATGCAGATGTTTGGATGCATGCTCGAGACTTCAACTCAGTTCAATAGTCTTTTTCCCAATTTTCCCCTTAAAATTTAAGGCTGTCACAGAGTTTATTTTGCAGTCATTTGCAACAGCATTTCATGACACAACCAGAAGTATAACTAGTGAACTATCTGCTAGATTCTGTCCTTGGTTAATCAAACTAAAATATTAAAATCTTTTATTTTTCATTTTGTTTTTCTTCCCCTCTGAACAGGCTTGTGAGTGCGGCTCCTTGCCTCCACATAAGGCACACTGTATATCATTGCTCTGTGTCAGATTTACATAAACACTCTGTACACTGTCTTTCTGCCTATCAGTATTTCCTCCTGTCACTTCCCCCACCGCTCGTGTGGCTAATCCAGGCTCTTCTCTATAGAGTCCAGCTTTTAGACGGCCGACATTTGGCACTAGGACTTAGGCTCCCCACAGTAAATCCTCAGTATTATCTACCTCTGTGTGTGAACCCTCTGCAGCCTCTTCTCCTAACCCGTCACTGCTCACTCACATGTCAAACAGGCATCAGGCAAAGTCTATGGCTCCACATGCTCCTCACGCTTAATTACTCAAGTGAGTGAAAAGGATCATATCTGAGTATTCTACATGCACATAAGCCCACAGTGATTTACACATGGTTTGAATGTTATTGCTAAAAATGTAAATGAAAACGTCAAATTTGAGAGTATAACTGCTGAAATCAAGAGAAGGGAGCCACTGCAGTGCCAATAACAAAACCCAGAGTGAAAGTATAAATCATTTATTACAAGAGTTAAAAAAGAAAAGAAAAGAAGTACAAGTAAAAAAATTTATCCTCAGTAAAACCAGTTTAAAAAGGGTTAAAATACTTGGTGGATGAGGGTTAAAATGTTCATAATGTGATGGAGAGGGTCTGATCATTCATTCGCCTGATCTGTGTCCGTGTCCTGCAGACAAAACAGAGACTGGCAGCAACAACCCACGAACAACAGACTACTACTGTGTAAGCTTATACATGTGAGGGGGGCAGCAGTATCCCGCGTCACTTACAGGGCAAGGCGGGGCCCCTCACTCCCCCGTTGCCTGGATTCAGCACTGTGGTGCCCTTCTTTAGATCATTTTGATTGGTCCCTGTCCTTTTGCTCTGTCCTCGCTGTATCCATGCTGCACTCCAACCAGTGCTGCGTCCTGAGCAAAAAAACACCAAATGCAGCACCCAGCACAACACACAGTGTAGCCTACAGCCAAAGGCTGTGGAGCTGGAGCACCACTAAAAAATGTACAACACTTACACACAAGGCAGAGTTTCTCTCTGCATTGATCAGGCATTGTGGTGCTCTGTTCTGGCTTGCGATCTGGCTTTTGGTGGTGGCTCCTCTCTCCGCTCTCTCTGTCTGCCTCCCTTCTCCCTTTTGTTTCCGGTCTTTTGCCACCCTGCTCCAGGTCCGTTAATTGGTCGGGGTCTCTCATTGGTTGAAGAGAGTCATGTGCATTGGGGTTATAGGTCAGCGCTTATGTGAGACTTAAAAACATGCAGTAAAAACTCTACAATAACAGGTAAAAGCAGCAAATAAAAACATGCAAAAAATATGCACAACAAATAATAAAAACAAGCCTCCCCATTTCACTGAGACTTATCACATGATTGTCAACTTAGTGTGTATGTGCAGGAAACATGCACGCTCATGTTTGAAAGTTGTTATAACTGGGTCACGTGGTTTCACATTGGTGAAATCATTTAGGAATATTTAGCAGTACTTTTTTTAGTTCTTTACTCCATTAATACATCAAATGTGCTATTGCACTCACTTACTACTAACTGCTAACACAGAACATACGGTATTTAGATCACATGATACCTTTTATTGTTTTGAGAATGCTCAAAATAAGTCACCTTCTTTCAGAGAGCTCTCACATTATAATCAGTGTGCATTCTGCTAATGAAACTACTGCACATCACATCAGATTTGTGAAATAGTTATGCACTGTTTGGTATCATGCTTTTGTATATTTATGGAGAATTGTCGTACGGGAGCATGACTTACGCAGGCTTGTGGGCTGAGCATTGGCTAGAATTCTACTGCTGGTAATTGCAAAGGAGGGCTTGAATAGGGCCCAGGAGAGATCGCCAAAATACTCAGACATGCATGGATGCCATATAAAACCACTTCAGACATGTTTTTGATGAGGGATCAATGTTATAACATGGCAGAAAGATCCAAAAAGTTGATTTTGCAAAATACTCTTCTTGAATTATATTTTTTGTTCTTTTTAAAAAAAAATTATGTTTCTCTTTTTGTTTTAATCTAACATCAAACCAGCAGTCATAGAGAATTCCAAAAGTCTACTGAAATCAATATACTACTGAAGTGCTGCTCAAAACTCATTTTTTTAGCCACACTCACTCAATAATAAAAGCTAAATTTACATATCCACTTGTGTCACGTAGGTGCATTGAGGATTACAAACTGGGCCCAGACCATCGCTCCTGTCTGCCCCTGTCAGAGTCGTGCACTGAGGGGGTGGACTGTGGAGAGGCTGTGGATGTCCCTGCCAACCAGACTGTGTTCGGAGACCTGTTCTATGGATACAACAACCACACCAAAGAGAGCACCTCCGGACAGATACTCAAGGCCACGTTCAGGTAAGAACACACGCTGGGCAAAAAGTGGACCATGTGGGACACCATAATTAGTGATAATATTTTTATTTCGGGGGGGTTCTTAATTTCAATTTTGCTGACAACCTTTGCGATTACATTTGCAATTTATGTTTTACAACATATCTAGAAGAATTGACAAAAAGACTGGACTATGAACTGGCAAACTAATACAAGAATCACATTTCAGTACATATTAGGGTACTTCATTTAGTCCAGTCTACTGTATGGTTTGCTAGTTGCATCCATAGTCTGATTTTGATTTAATTGTGATTAATCTTGCAGCCCTACTGAGGTGTATGGGAAATGAGTTTGGTTTGAGAATTTAGTTTGCTAAACAGATAAACCAAAAATACAGCTATTATAATGACTGACTGGGCATTGAGCTGTCCATTACAAGGTAGTGGCACCCTGGTAGTTTGCGGTACATTGCTAAATCTTTCTTTGTTCATAGCCTTTACTCAAATAATAATAATAGCAGGAGCAAAATTTTACTTTACTCTACTGAAGCATAAAAGGTCACATTTAAATGAGTCCATTAGAACAGTGGTAGATTTTGAACATTTTGTAATCAGTAGGTGATTGGAGCACACTGAAGTCATGGAGCTGCTGTAGTCCACACTCCAGTGTAATAAAACCTCAGTCAGGAGTAAACAAAATTAGGCAATCAATTTTAAAAGGTCACCAAGCCAACACAAACACAAGGAATATTACATTCACAAATTAATCTACAAGTGGGTAAGTAGCTTGATTAAAATTGCCAAATCTTGTTAAGACACAGTTTACTCAGAGCTTTCTACAACTGTAATTGTTCAAATATGTGACTTCAAATAAAAGAGTTAATTTGTATTTTGAAATATGAGCTTTTAAATCAAATTGGTTTTATCAAGTTGTTTCAGATCAAATGTATATACTTTAAATGATACATGTGAAATGGACGCGAGCATTGGTATTCTATCATTTAAAAAAAAAGTTCAGTTTAAGTCCAAACATTTTTCATTCATCTGTGATTTTTTAAAATGTGTTTTTAACAAAACTTTCCATAATCTACATCTACATACGCCAATTGTCAAACTTAGTATGTATATGTAAGAAACATGTACAGTTACATTTTTAAGTAGTTTTAACTGGGTCACATGCTCAATATCAAATCATTTAGGAATATCAGAAATATTTAGAAGTTCGTCTTATGAATACATTAATGACGCATTACTACACTTCTCTGAGGTATTCACTGCTAACATATAACATATTTTATTCTTTGTGCATGCTATATTCACCAAAAATCATGGATTAACATGTTTGATAAGTTCCAAGTATGTTTTTGAGAGTCTGAGTCTAGTGCCTAGGTCAGGAATTGGAATACACTTGATGGTTTGCAAGAGCCCTGTAAGTTGGACACATTGTGCGTCTCTGATTAGTTGAACTTTCTGTCAGTCACAGAACTCGAAATAAGGTTGTTTAGTGAAGGTTTTGGTTGTAGTTTAAAGTAGTTTATTTATGCCCATATTAGTTCCAACATAGTAAGAATAAGAATGAAGGTGTCTGAACTTCCATTTAATGGTGGGGAGAGAGCAGGCCTAGTATAAAGACTTTTTAACCACTTTTCTCTGGTTTCCTTCATCATTCTAGTTTCCAGTTGGTGCATTAAGCAGAGTACAAAGGTCCATATACTGTACATTCACTTGTCTTACTCTGTGTCCGAGGAGATATGGAACTTATTTCCGTGTGTGAGATTAGGTCATGACTCCTGCAGCAGAACCGCTTTGATGTTGCAGTGAATGTAGCAGCGAAATGACAGCTTTTATTAATGTTGAATATAAAGAGAAAGTACATAGAATAGCCCCTTATCAGCTTCCATTATAAAGAAGAAGCTCCAGTATAGGCGTAACCTTTCATAGGGTGCTAGGTATTATTATTATTATCTCTGAAAGTCCGCATAGGCTGAAACACATGTAGGAAAAATGACTAAAACATGAGAAACAGCTCCGTGGGATAAAAAAAGACTAAGCAATTGAATGAGTGTATTTAAAGGTTATTTTGTGACAAGCCGGGAGCCTGATTTGAGAAAGATAATAATCATGATAGTGAAGCCTAGAACCGTCAAGGAAAGTCCTTCATGAATGTTGTAATAGAAGAGTGGAAGCTGGAAAGGTATTGGTTGTCTTTGCTGTAGTAGTAGTAGTTGTAGCAGCAGTAGTAGTAGTTATACTAGAAGTAGTAGGTGTTAAGTAGTAATAGATACAGCATGTAGTTGTTTGAGTATTGTTAACATGGCAGTAATAATGAGTGTTAAAGGGACAGTTCGGAATTTTAGACATAGGGCCTCATTTCCTAGTGAGCCAGACTGTTGGAGATGTGTGGAGACACTTTTGAAAATGTTCCATCTAGTCCTTGTATTTGCAGAGGTCGCTGGTGCTAGGCTAGTGCATGTCAATGGCCATAGTTAGCCTGCCACTAAAAACAGTCTAACCCACTCCACAAAGCACCCAAAGCAAATCTATTATTACACCACACTGTCGAAATAAATGTCTGTGTTGATAAAATAATATTTGAAAAAAAATTAACCTTGCATCACATGAATCGTCGCATGTTACGGGACTATTTTCTCATATATCAATCCGCCGCTGCCAAGCTTTCTATCAGGAAGTACAACTCGCTGCTGCTGCTCAGACATAAAGCCTTCAAATGCAAGGTTGGTTTTACTTCTAAAATTATTCTATCGTCAGTGTGAATTGTCAACACTGAGATAAGTTTCTTGTCATATTGTGTAACATTTCAGGCAAAACAATTACATCGCCATGGTGACAAGCAGGCAGGGGACACATTGCACTATTAGGTACATTTTTACATGTCTAATTTTACTTAATTTCAGTAAAAAAATTATGTAACTACTTTTACATCATCACTACTCCTTCCAGCTCTGGTCAAGACAATAACAATACAAGAAATACTCTCATGTTACACATATGGGAGACTTCTGAAATTCCCTTTCATGGCAAGCTTGTCTTTGATGTGGATGTTGCTGCACTTTGAAGGTGGCTAATTATGACTGTCCACATCGCCTAGTCATTTCGACTGGAATCTGAGAGCCAGGAGGTCAGATACAACCATCTATTCGGCATGTGAATTTAATTTGGTGTGTGCACGGACTCACCACCTAGAGGCTACATCCCCACCCACTTAGGGATCGAACCCTGGTATATAGTGCGCAGAGGGACGGGCGAGGCAGCAAAGTTAATATCATCAAAAATCTCCAATGCTCTTATCTCATTTGGACGTGCTTGTGAATATAGAGAGTAGTAGACTTTGAAGAGTGAGCTGTGTGCAGAGGAGGTGAGGGTGAAAGGGGGAGGGGGTAGGATTCTGTCGGGACACATGCCTAATGCAGGGTCTAATTAAACAAGATGGCTCCAAACGAATTAAAACTGACCTGGTTGCGGTGTGCTGCAATTGAACCTAATTGAACCAAATGAACTTCGGAATGTGAAATGAACACAGGGTATAGCGGCGTTGCACCTGTTTACACAGGTTAGTGCTGCTAAATGAGAGCCCAGTCAATAAGTTAATTTAGATGATTTAGGTCAGGTACACCTGGAATGTTTGTAAATCTTGTAGTAATTTATGCTTACAATTCCAAGTTTTGTAGGAAAAAGTTCAATGTATTTTTCATATTGCTGTAGCCCGGCCTTATGTATTTTGGGAAGGGAAGCCATGTATCAAGGGATATGGCTAATGACTTGACTAGACATACTAGTGCATTTCGTTGTGTGGCATTCAGTTTCCACTAGCCTGATCAGTCAAAACTACATCCTTTCCTTATACATTGACTTGTAATCTGGTCATCAGTTTTATCTCTCACAGTTCTGATAAGTGTTAATAAGACAAGAAATCAAAATAACGCAGATTCATTTTCAAATTTGCAAGATTTCTAACAACCACTACACATCATAACTTGCTCTTCCCCAAACCCACATACAAAGCCAACCTAGTGCACTATGTTTTTTAAAAATGTATTTTTAAATAGCTTAAAGCTTATAGCTTAAAGATCCTGTATTATGCAAAATGAACTCTTGTGAGCTTTTAACCATGTCATTATCTCATCAAAAACATGCCGAGCTATGTTTTGTTTCATTCACACATTTTTGAGTAATCCTTTATTAGTCGGTCTACAACTCCAAAACTCAAAATGCTTTCTTCCACCATGTGATGTCATGTAGTAGTAGTTTTCAAGTTAACAGCTGACCGTTTACTTTTTGTTTAGTAGAGATTGGAAATTCCAGATTTTAAATTATCCAAATGATTCTAGTAAAGGTGTATGGAGTTTAAAAACACATTGGGGCACTTTCAGAATTCCCACGTGATATCAAAAAGTGGTAATAGTGTTTTCAGTTTGAGAAAAGGTAAGAAAAAGGTAAGAGTGTTTTCAGTTTGAGAAAAGAACTATACAGGTTTGTGTATTACCGTGTGAATGAAACAAAACACAACTCCAGGTATGTTTGTGATGAAGAACATTATAATGTAAATCAGAAAATAGAGTAATAAGGGCTCTTTAACAGGTCCAGAAGTTCATGTTTGTGCCTTTTGCTGAAGAAAACCCTCCTACTTTGAAATAAATGACTGCTGTGTTTTATAGAGAGATTTGTAAAGGGCCTGGGAAGAATGTGATTATCCATCCAGCTTAGGGCAGATGGTAAGAGCAGCTCTGTGATGTGTATTGGCATTTGATCAAACAGGCCTTCTCTGCAGTGCCACGGAGTGTCTGCCTCTGCCCTCACTGATAAAAAGACACTTTGCTTTTGTTTAGTCTTGAGCCCAGACTTGCCTCAAGTTTCACATTTACTAATCTCAAATTCTTCTTCAAAGCAGGCTGTGAGATATTTGCTCTTTGTATTTGTGCTCCACTTGTAAATACGGGTTGTGGACTTTTTATAAACAGCAAATCAACTCTTTCACTGGCAATCTTTTATTTATTTGCAACAAGA